GACAGGATGGCTGCAGGGGGCTGGGTTTGGATAACTTTCCTTCCCCCAGATTGGTTAGACTCTGATAAAACCACAACAGGTTAGCCTCTAGGAAAATAATATTCTTGAAGGCAACTGTTTTAAAAAGCATAGAATGCTTTGAATGTATTTCAAGTTGGCTACTTTCCTCCTCATGCTGCTGAAAGCCAGAGGTGATTTTTTTTTCCTCCAGTCTTTACTTTGAGAACCAGGTAAGGCTCCTGAAGATAAAATTCAAAAAGGTGTGAGGTCCACCTTAAGTCTGGACCCTGCTGGGGTTTTTAAGTCTCAGGCTGATCCACACTGAGCCTCCAGTAATTCAATTACAGTTTGGGTTTTTCTGCCCCAGTGCTGATTCTCACATAGGTTGTTGCTCATGTGTTTCTGCTCTGGTGAGTTGTGATTCTCTATATCCACGTGTTTGTAATTCGGGGGACAGTCGTTTGCCCTGTGACATCAATTATCTTACAAGTTAAGTCAAACAATTGTCTGTTCAGCTTTTTACTTGTTTTCAGGACAGAACGATGACCTCCAAGCTCCTTCATGCCCAACATTATACTGAAGTCTTCTCCTTAATTTTTTATGCTCCATTGATATTTACAAGAACATTTTGTTGTTGTTGTTGTTGTTACTAAGGTCTTTGAGATTCATGCAATCCAAATTTAGAGATTGGAGGTTTAAATATTTCAGACAAACCATTTCTTAAAAATCAAAATGGAAAATAAATTTACCTGTGTCTTTAGATAAGATCACAAAGAAAAATTGCCTCCACTTTAGGAGTTTTCCTGCACAAAACACTATTTCATTAAGTTCACAGTGTTTTTCTGACAGTTTTAAAAGTTTTCACTTGAGGGAAAAAAAAACAGATCTGAAACACAAAGTCCAAAAGAGAAATAGAGAAAAAAAACAAGAGAGAGAGAATAAATTTCAATTTATCTAGTCATTCCCAACCCTCAATTCTAAATCTAACCTTCCTCAACCATCTTAATTATGGAATACAACATTTAATTGTATATGAGGAAAAACCAGAAATCCCAAGCAGTAACTCATAATCTCTGTGACCAAGGAAGCTACTTTTGATTAGTAGGTTGTAAATAAACTTTTCTAATACTTTGCTATGACAATTGTTAATTCAACTACTTTTTTTGTTAATTCCTACTTTTTACAGTGCGTAATATTTAGTCATGAGGTGATAGAGTATTCACACCTGAAGGCAATTTGGTGAAAATTATAATGTAACTTGTACGGAAATGTAAATTAATGAAATACTTTGTTAGGCAAAGCACATTGTTCTAGAATGAGTACCTTTGGGGTCAAGAGAGATCTGGGGTATGATTCCAGCTCCACAATTCGGACAATTTAACTTCTTGAGACTCAGCTTCTTCATCTGTAAAATGAGAAGTAAGAATAGCTCTTACCAGGTTGAAAAAAGTGAAAGTCAGAGTGTTAGTTTGCTCAGTCATGTCCGACTCTCTGCGATCTCATGGACTTTAGCTTGCCAGGCTCCTCTGTCCATGAAATTCTCCAGGCAAGAATACTGGAGTGGGTTGCCATTTCCTACTCCAGGGGATCCTCCCGACCCAGGGATCAAACCCAGGTCTCCCACATTGCAGGCAGATTATTTTCCGTTACTAGGATTAAATGAGAGAACACTTACAGAGTACTGCCACACAGTAGTTGTGTATTGTATGGCGGTTTCCACTCTTTTCCTTTCCAACACAATTACGTTCCTAAGTGTGTATTAGCAGAGAGAAGAAGTACCCAAACACATGCTTTGTTTGGACCACATTGTCTTTTTAATTTTTTAATTTGAATTATTTGACAATACTTAAAATTCAGTTCCTATAAAATCTGAATTTTGGGTTTCTCCTGATTTACAACGTCTGGGCCCTCTAGGGGCATCCAGCCTCTGGATCTAAGTGGCTATCTGCCTTTCCACTTCTCCGGCACCCACCACTCCTTATCGTCTTAGTCCTGTTTCACTCCCTCATGAGGCCTGCCTGTCTCCCAGTGAGACGTCTGTGTCTGTGGTCAAACGGTGAGGTTAGTGCGGGAAGACTTGCTGAGGACGTGGGAGGCGGGTTTTGACGGTTCACAGGCACAGAGTATATGGTTAATGGACATGAGCTTAAAGCTGTGAGTCTCCGGACTGGACCTCTGCTTGATTTGAGTAGGTTCTCACCAGTCCTTAATGGCCTTTTGTGCTTCAGGAAGATCAGCAGTGGGGTGTGTAGCGTGACACTGTAGTTAGTTCACACACGGGGAGATGAGAAAGGAGAAAGATCTTTCCAGTACAAGCTTGGCTTTTATTGTTGCACACACACCCCCTCCACCACCTCATCCCACGAGGGGTAAGAAGCACTTTCACTGCCATCTCCTAACCTGAAAGGATTAGAGAAACACAAGAAAAGACAGAGAGGGAGGGAGGTCTGGCGAACTTGCCTGTGTCTCTCTTCATAGGCAGAACAGAAGAGAATATTGAGGCAATTATCTGCATAAATCAGCCCAAGCACATTAAAGAAATTCCAACAAAAAGGGGACATTTATGCCTGAATAATGGCGCTAATTATCTCCAACCTCCACTTTAGCGCTCCTGGGGAAACCTGGCTTAAGAGTGCTTTTCCAGTGAGCTGGCAGACTCGGAGGTGGAGAGAAATTGTATTGTCATAACTGCAGCTGTGGACCTGGGGTCCATGCTGCCTCTGCCCAGAACAGCTGTTGAGGATATACAAGCCCACATTCTGCCTCCCAGACTCATGTGGTGGTCTGGAGGAAAGGGGGTCTCTGGGGAAGATGAGCAGGTTCGGCAAGCTGGCACCTAGAGGAACCATGCAGCTTACTTTACAAAATCTTTACAACTTTTTACTGTAAATGCATAATTTCAAAAATATTTTTTGAAATATAGTTGACTTACCATGCTTGTTAGTTTCAGGTGTACAACAAAATGATTCAGTTTTTAATATATATATATATATATATATGAAGATGTGAATATACATATTCTTTTTTAGACTTTTTCCATTATAGGTTATTATAAGACACTGAATATAGTTCCATGTGCTATGTAGTGGGTCCTTGTTGGCTATCTGTTTTATATATAATAGTGTGTATATGTAAATCTCAAACTTTAACTTACCCCTCCCACCTTCCCTTTGATAACCTTAAGTTTGTTTTCTATGTCTGTAAGTCTATTTCTGTCCTATAAATAAGTTCATTTCTATCATTTATATATTCCACGTATAATCTACCCCCTGGACTGTACCCCACTAGGCTCCTCTGTCCATGGAATTCTCCAGGCAAGAATACTGGAGTGGGTTGCCATTCCCTTCTCCAGAGGATCTTCCTGACCCAGGCATAGAACCTAGGTGTCTCACATAACAGGCATAGTCTTTACCATGTAAGCCACCAGGAAATCCCCATATAAGCGATATCATGTGATATTTGTCTTTCTCTGACTGACTTCACTTGGTATGATAATCTCTGCATCCACCCATGTTGCTGCAAATGGTATTATTTTATTCTTTTTATGGCTGAGTAATATTCATATATTGTGTGTGGTGGGGGGGTGCGGTTCTCCGGTGGCTCAGACGGTAAAGAATCCACCTGCAATGCAGGAGACCCAGGTTCAATCTCTGAGATGGGAAGATCCCCTGGAGAAGGAAATGGTAACCCACTCCAGTATTCTTGCCTGGGATTATATATATATATCTATTTATCCATTCATCTGTCAATGGACATTTAGGTTGCCTCCATGTCCTGGCTATTGTGAATAGTGCTGCTATAAATATTGGAGTGTATGTATCTTTTAGAATTAGAATGCATACATCAGATGTATGCCCAGGAGTGGGATTGCTGGATCATATGGTAGCTCTATTTAGATTTTTGAGGAGACTCCATATCATTCTCCACAGTGGCTACACAAATTTATATTCCCATCTTTACAACTTTCACATTGTCATAGAAGTTATAGATCATTTTCATTTTTCTGTTTAAAAATGTATCTTTTTTTCACAACAACTTTTAGCAATAAAAAAGGGGCAACTTATTAATGTTCTGCCTTCTAAGTATGAATCAAAAGATTATTATAACTACAGGCAAGAAAGCATTTGGATTATGTGGCATTTGGAAATGAAAATAAAGGTTATCCATATGGTCTGATGTTGTCAATGCCTCACACTGCATTAGTAATCACCAAATATAGGGGTTGATTTTGATTATGCGGCTCATTTTAAATTGTGCCGTGTCCTGGGTCAGTCAGAGTCAAGATGATTTACTAGAAATAGCTGCTGCTTTCTTGTGTAAGTGCTGCTAAGTGCTTAAGCAGAATTAGAATATTTAGGACATCGTACCTTTGGTTTTACGGTGCTACGGTCTTCTTAAAGCTTCTCACTTTATAACTTCTTAAGCATCTCTAATTCTATTCTTGTCTGTCCTATATGCATCAAAACCCTCCAGTAGTAAGAGCTATAAAGTGTGTTTTATCCGTGTATGTGAATGTCAGTTTCCCTTAGGTTTTATAGCTTTTGTCCTGGTCTCTGTAACTTAAAGGATTATGAGCTTCTGGTGGTTAATGAGAATGATTCAAAGGCCAGGGTCAACCTTTGTCTCCCAAAGACCTGGAGCTGTCCCTCCCTTCCAAAGCCTTTTTGCATCTTGTTCACCAAGGGGCTGGGGGAAGCCTGGGGACTCATTCTTCTGCAGACTTGCAGGAAAAGCCAACAACTTGCCTTTTCTTTTTATCCTCTTCCCTGTTGACCAGCCTTGATGGAGAACCACTCTGGGTTCATTTGGGATTAGGTCCAATGTCACAGCCATCTGAGGGTCAGAGGGCTGTGTCCCATGCAGGCTCCTGGGAGCCTCCTCCTTTCATGCATGCACTCCAGCGTGAACACCGTTGATTCCATACGCGCGACTCTTGATCATCGGTCAGGGCACGTGGTCCATCCTTGCGTGTGTCTACATAACGAACTCTCTGTCCCAAGGAAACTGGCCCAGAAGCGGAAGGAGACAATGAGCAGCACAAGGCAGGAGATGACGGTGATGGTGAGCTCCATGGACAAGAGCTATGCCGAGCAGGGCACCAGCTGCGACGAGGCCTTCTCCTTCATGGACGCGCACAACCTCAATGGGAGATGTGAGTGGGCGCCCTTCCCACCTTCGGGGCAGCTCTGGGGTCTGGGGTTAGGAAACAAGACCTCCCTAGACAATCCTTAGGCGCTGTCGGTTTCGCCAGTCCCTTCAGATGATGCTGGACACATCCCACTGTGCCACGGTGGCTTAGGAACGATGCTGCAGGAGGGAGGGATGGGAGCAGGTCACAGGCAACCATGGCCACACGTCTGTAAAGACCTGAGAGCTGTGACATCAAGGCGGCCCTCCCCGCCCACGGAAGCACCTGCTTCCCACCCTCCCTGCTGTTCCTCAGCTCCTGTTTGCAAGCGAGCCAGGTGTGGAACCACACGGGGGAAGCCTGTTCTAAGACAGCTTACTAAATGGCAGTAACAAGCTAATTGTTTATTTGTTTAGCTGACACGTTCTGCCTTTATTACAGGGCCATTAGTGGCAATTAATAAGTTAAACTGTATTTCCACTTCAGAAGGCTTACGTCTCCCACCAGGTGGGTACAGGGAGCTCAGCTAACACCTTCCCCCTGCCATCCAGGTACAGGGCACTATTTTAGGAAGCTTAACAATTACACGGATTGTTGGAAATACAATATTTCTCGGCTCGTCCCCCTGTGATCTTCTCGGGGACCTAGATAAATCCACGGGCTGTGCCTCATGATGTGGTTCCCAGCCCTGCTGGTTTCAAGGTCAGAGGTCTCCTCACCTCATGAAATTCATGCCCAAAGGCTGCCGCCGACCCTGGCTGCATTAATCAGGATGCTGGGCAACAAAGGAATGGATTAAGGGAAGCTGTCACCAGCAGTAATAAAAATAAAGGCTGGGGCTTGGCACAGACCCGCAGCCTCCGCTGCAAGACGGCTGCTGCCGATGCAGTGCTCACTCCTGTCCTGACCACCCTCCTGGGGTGTTCGGATCAGCGTCTCCCCCAGTGCTTCCCCCCCCACATCACGCACAATGTGGGTTTCTTCTTCTCCGTCTCCTCCCACACCTGCCTTTCCCCCCCCCAACCCACATTCAGCAAAGCTTCATAGAAAGGGCTGTTTTTTTCTTTCCACAGTGGCTATGCTTGTCCACCTTGTCCCAGTTAGAGGTCCTACATTTATTTATCCACGTGCAACCCCAACTCTCTGGCATGGGACTTCAGCACACGCCGTTCCCACATGGGCGGGTGGGACGCCCTCCTCATCCATGGTCACTGCCCTTTGCCCTTTTGTGTTATTTTCAGTGTAGGTGGCAGAATCTGGGGTACTTAGCTTTACCACAAATTCCTTCCTTTTCTGGAGACTTTTCTCTCCTTTTTTGTAGCAAATACTACCTTTTTCATGTCGAAAGTATGTAATGCATTTCACTGCCAAAATAAAACAACTGAGGATGCATTTGCTGGGTGAGAGGGTTGAGGGGAGAAGTCCTTCCCACTACAGACAAGATGAGAATTTGTATTGGCGGGTGACAGAAGATGAGATGGTTGGATGGCATCTCAATGGACATGAGTTTGAGCAAGCTCCAGGAGATAGTGAAGGACAGGGAAGCCTGGCATGCTGTAGTCCATGGGATTGCAAAGAGTCAGATAGAACTGAGCTACTGAACAAGTTATTTCTTAAACATCGGTGTGGAGGGACCATTTGGATACACGTCCTCTCCTTCCAGGATCACCTGTTTATGTTTCAAATCATCTGTGTCATGGTGAAATTGCTCACAAATAAATTTACCTGGGCTTACCTACCCAAAGAGCAGAAACCTACGTTAAGAGTTTCTAGGCTTTGGAAGTTTGAGCAATAGAAGATATTTGCCTCTGGGTAGGATATTTAGTTTGGCACTGACTTTTTAAAAAATGAATGTATCTGTGGGAATCTAAAACTGCTCCTATCAAGAGGGCCGCTGCAGTCTTGGGGGCAGCTTGGGGCTCGCTGGCCATGAGGGATTACTTGTTTCTCCCATCAGTGCAGCCAGTGGAGGAGATAGAGCGAGAAGCTTTTTTTTCCCACTCTCTGAGCAATGGGTGGGTCTCATGGAATCCCATCCACAGGGATCCTCATGGTTAACTCCATCATCACAACATTCTCTTAATGCCTTTAACGTGTGCCGTGTGTGCATGTGTGGTATGTCGCTTCAGTCCGACTCTTTGCGACCCCATGGACTGTAGCCTGCCAGGCTTCTCAGTCCATGGAATTCTCCAGGTAAGAATACTGGAGTGAGTTGCCATTCCCTTCTCCAGGGGATCTTCTCCACCAAGGGATCAAACTAGTGTCTCCTGTGACTCCTGCATTGCAGGCAGTTTTTTACCACTGAGCCGCCAGGGAAGCCCAATGCCTTTATCGTAAGAGAGCAATTACTGGAGGAGGAAACTTTCAGGAAATGTACTCATTAGACCACTAGACTTCTATCTAGCCTTAAACCTACTGCAAGCCTGGGCGTGTTTGAGATCTTTCAGGGTTGGGAGGTGAGTACCTTTTAGGAATGAGACAGTGAGAAAACTGAGGTTGGAGAATTTTTAAAAAATTCTGAGCACATTTATAACAGTGTGGAATAATCTGTCCACCAAAGCAAACAGGAGTTGTGCAGAAAACAAGGGGGAAGTAGTTATGGAGAGTGGGGGTGGGTTTAATCTTTATATAGAAAAGTTTTTAAATATGTTTTTTAAAGGTGAAAATAGACATAGTTCTTTTGTATCTGCACATTGTATTTTGCACATTTTTACAAAACAAATACAAATGTCAGCAGGTAACAGGCATTTTACTTCCTGACCCTGGCATGTTACTCGGGGTTTTTTGTCCTTATTTTTATCAATCACTCTCTTTTTTTTCCTGGAGATTTACTGTAAACATGCATCATAAGTGTGGATACTTCTCTATTTTAGCAAAATGTAAATAACAGGCAGCCTGTCATTTACTAATTCGGTACTTCAAAAACATAAACACAGGAAAAACCATTGTCTGAAAGGGAACTACTCTAAGACAATGAAAATGCATCAGCGTGTCATCAGAATAAAGAGAAGATGCAGTCACCACAGGGACTTGGTTGGTAGTGCCCTATTTAACACCCGTGTAAGTGGCATTAAGGGATTCCCCAATGACTCAGCAGGTAAAGAAACTGCCTACCAATGCAGGAGATGCAGGTTCAATCCCTGGGCCAGGAAGATCCCCTGGAGTAGGAAATGGCAACCCACTCCAGTATTCTTGCCTGAAAAATCCCATGGACAGAGGAGCCTGGCAAGCTACAGTCCATGGGGTCACAAGAGTCAGACATGACTGAGCCCACACACAAGTGGTATCAATTAGTGTCCTGATCAGGATGTCAGCATCAAATAAGCCATGCAACTACACTGGAGGAATTAACGTTTGGACTTACATCAACCAGCCTGTGCAGTTAAGCACATTCAAATCATTTCTCTTTATGCTCTAATGAAATTAAAGTGTTTTTAAAGCACTAATCAATTAAGTTGTTGAAGAGAGTTAAACTACTTTAAAAATAGGAAATATCCACTTTCAATGGGATCAGATAAATTGGGTGGGATTGACTTCACCTCTTAATAACAGTGGAAAGAGAAGGTGTAAATAGTTAAAGCTTGAGTGTTTCAGAGGAAAATTTCAAAGGAAAATAAGCAGGTTTTTAAGGATGTAAGGCCTAATAGGACAACGTGTAGGCATGCAACTTTCATGTTAAAAATAACACATGTGGAACATCTTTATTTTTCATAAAATAGAACATTGTGAAATGTTCTCTCAGTGTCCAAAATACGAGAAAGGTGAGGATTTAGCAAATTACAAAAACATTGACATTTGGAATATTCTCCAAAAACCATATGTAGACACATTCTCATCCTCTTAGTTGTAAATAATCAGCAGAGCATTTGGTAAAATTCTACACGCAAAGTGAAAAAAGTGAAAGTGTTTGTTGCTTGAGTTCTGCCCGACTCTTTGTGACCCCATGGACTGTAACCCACCAGTCTCCTCTGTCCATGGAATTCTCCAGGCAAGAATACTGAAGTGGGTTGCCATTCTGTTCATCAGGGGATCTTTCCAACCTAGGGATCCAATCTGGGTCTCCTGCATTGCAGGCAGATCCTTTACCATGTGAGCCACTAGGGAAACCCCCTACAAGCAAAGGCTAGGCGTCAAAAGGGAGAGTCATGAATTTCTGCATCCAGAAAGGGGCTGTGGTTGTGGGTGTTTTCCTTCATTTGTGGGATCAGAAAAATCCTTTAAGTGATGAAAGTGTACGTGTCCTCTAAAGTAAGGGTCCCCAACCTCCAGGATGATGATCTGAGGTGGAGCTGATGTAATAAAAATAGAAATGACGTGCACAATAAATGCAATGTGCTTGAATCATCCCCAAACCATCCCTCCCACCCCCAGCCCATGGTAGCATTACCTTTCATGAAACCAGTCCCTGGGGCCCAAAAGGTTGGGGACCACTGCTCTAAAGCACAAGTAACTCTGCAGAGCAGGTGGAAAGGGACAATATTCATCACAGAGACACAGGTGAACCTCTGATGTTTCTGTGGTCCATAGTCTACCCAGCCCCGTTTCCCCATGCGTTAACTCAGGGCCGTATTTTCAGGTATCGCCTCTCTGCCCCCACTGACACGCCTGTCTCTCATTTACAGCTGTATCTTCACCGTCGTCCTTCACCATGAAAACCAACACCCTGAGCACATCGGTGCCCAACTCCTATTACCCAGGTAACAGATCTTTCTGTTCTTGCATCTCTTCATCACCCCGAGCACTCAGAGTCACCCAGGGCTCACTTTGCTGCCCGCGATGCTTGAGGAGCTTACTATGTTTGATGTGCTGTAACCCGATGCTTTCTGTGGCTTCTACGGGAAAACTGGGAGGGGGGGCCTTTCATCAATCATTCACTGTTCTCTCTCTTTTTACTTTCTCTGCATTGACCTGCTTACGGTGTATGACAGACCCATTTGTGCCAACTGCAATTTTAGGTGAGAACATTTCCCTTTATCACAGTTCATTACAGGAGTAATTTCGAAAGTCAGTGGCCACTCTATAGGAGACGGGAGTTTGATGCAGGAGTTGTAACCAGGACAGGGGGGTGGTGGATGGTCTGGAGGGGCGGGGATGGGCACATAACAAAAAGACTTTCTCCGAACAGTCCCCATTGATAAGAAGGGTTTGCTGCGTGTGTTCTGGGAATGATACCGAAAGGTTCCAATGAGTGAACCCAGCTCCATTCTCCTTTTCCAGGTTCAGAATTTGCACTCAGTTTTGATCCCAAGGAAAAATCACAGCATGTCCAAACTCAGCTGTAAGACCTGAAGTCTGTCCACTGTGCCAGCCATAAATGTGGAAATAGCTCATTATTATTGTCACTTACTGCTGAGCACCAAAAGCAGCTGTTTCAAAAATAGCATTTTTCTAATTATGCCGAACGTTATGCAAAAAAAATAATCACAGTGGAGTTTAGGCCCCCTGCCCCTCCTTGGAGCCACCCAGGGCACCCCCAGCGTTTCCAAGTGTCTGTCACACAGTGGGATTTCAGAGGAGCCGATGGTCTCAACAGCAGAATGACAAGGTGACACTTTATAATCACATGGTTTACGAGGTGTAGGATGTCACTGGAAATGAAATAAAATGTTAGCCTCTTCGGGCAGAATGCAGTGAAAGTAGGAAGTGTTCCCAGTGGGAGGTAAAGAAAAACTCCCATTTGTCTAAACGCAAGGAGGGGGAGGAGAAATGGTGTTGCCTGGCCGTGATGGAGCCAAACAAGCATGAGCTGCGGTTGTCTTTGAGACCATAGCCAGGTGTACCAAGCTGTTTTCTTCCTGTCACTCACCTTCCCGAGAAGGAGCACCATACGGATGACTTAAAGGTGCACAGCCCTCCATCGTAGACAGGGCTCCCCCCTTAGCTGTGCCAGGCCTGCTTCCTAATTCTCCAGGCTCAGTCACTCAGCTGTGTCCGACTCTTTGTGACCCCATGGACTGCAGCCCTCCAGGCTCCTCTGTCCGTGGGATTTTCCCAGCAGGACTGCTGGAGTGGGTTGCCATTTCCTTCTTCATAACTCTCCTTTCAAGGGTTATATCTTGGCAACATAATTTTCCCCCCTGTGCTTCTCTTTCTCTTAAGTTGTTATGATTTTTATGTAGAGGGTGATCTCCCCCCCCACCCCATGATGTTTTCTGGGCTTGATTAAGCCAGTTCGTTGCCTGAGGCAAAAAAAAAAAAAGAACTCAGAAGTTGAAGAATAGACTAAACCAGAATTTTTTAATTTGCGTCGTTTTGAGGACTAATAAGCAAACCCCACTAATGCCAGCACCTTTGACTAGCGACAGTAAGGGGAAGAAAGCTGCATTTTTAGCCTTTTCGTGAGTGAGGGGCTAATCTTAGGCACCCGAACAATGCAATCTATATGCAGATGACATTTGCAGAATCTCTTGATAAGCGAAGATTTGCAATTTCTTTGTGTGGCTGGCATTCATTCCTCCATTCCTCTGGTAGATGTTCTGACCTTGGGGGAGCTGTGAGGGGGTAGGGCTGAGATGCACATTGTCAGAGGCAAGAAAATGTTCAGATTTCACAGCAGGATTTAGATAAGCTTATTAAACAAATGCCATCTTTTAAAGTCGGGGCTTTGTTATTACAAACACTAATGACATCTTTTAAAGTTGGTTAGGCTTCTTAACAGGGAAAGAAGCACTGGAACAGGCGATTCAAATAGCAAAAAAAAAAAAAAATACACTGGGAAAAATAAGTCAGCCAGATCAACAAGTAGCTGTTTACCATGTTGAGCTGGCACCAACATGCTAATGTGTCAAACGGTTGTGCTTGGGGACTGTCCCCTCCCCGTTACGGGGTGCAAAGGTGAATCTATGTGTCTTGTAGGTTATCACTTGAAACCATGCAGAGAAGTTAAGCTGTGCATCTACTCTGGCATTTTGGGGAAATAGTGGTATTAGAATTTACAGGAAGGCATGTTTTGTTGTGACTCAGAGCTTGGCACAATTAAATCCTCTAGTGCCTTTTATTCACACAAGCTAAGGTGCTCAGCCCTAATGTTTATATAAAGCTTTAGTATGCCTTTGTATCATTTTCTTGCAAAACATAGATAGATGATAGACAAATAGGTAGGTAGATAAGTAGGACCTCTCCCTACCTCAAAAACAGCGTTCAAGATTTTTCTAGCTGGTTCATTGAAAATTCGAGAAAGTTTACAAGAGACTCTAGGTAGAATGAATTCTCAATTCTTTGAAAACCATCAGAAATGTTAGTGAGAAACTTTATTTCTGATTTCCTCTTACACATAATTTTTAAAAATTATAGGTGTGTTATTTTTAACAACTATAGGAAGTTAGGGACAAATGATATATTTTATCTGTAATCATTCTGTTTGAAGAAGGCAGAGGTAACTGATGAATCACTCATTTTGGTGGAATCCAGATTTTTCTGCTGGTGTGGGTGACCTGATTTCAGAACAGATATCACACCAGAAACCTTCTATTTCCCTGTCATTATCTATGTACTTGATAATAATATTCTCATTTTAGATGGTCTGGGTAGTGTGTAAATGCTTCCTAATGCTGTGTGGGTGCATTAGGTGACAGTGGTGGCCACTCTGTAGACCTAAAACTTCCAAGAATGCCTCACCTTGGGGTCTGAGCACTGCCTGGTTGCCAGTGGATCTACGTGAAAGACTCACATGATTCATTTAGGAGAGGTTAGAATAGAAGGTCCGTCCACAGTGAAGGACATTTAATTATGTTCATCCCAAAAGGTACAAAACTGAGAGAATGAGAGGCACGGGGGGAAACTAATTAATGTTCCATTTATTTGAGTATAAAGAGCAAGCCTTCCTGCTGGAGCAGCTGAAAGCTCGAGGGATTCAGGGCTTTAGGAGGGAGACTAAGGCCCCTTTGTGAGCTTGGCAGCTGCCAATGAGCAAATCTGATGTGAAAATGTCCTGGTTTATTTGCGACTATTCTGAGAGATGGGAACAAATAAATGTCTAAATTTCAAAGCAAATCCAAATGGAAAAAGATCATAAAATCAACTTCCCACCTTTTTATTTCGTCTTTGTGTCTTTAGCCACCTTGTAGTGATCAGGTGCCATTTCAGCAGCAGCACATAGCTACACACCTGTGTGCCACCCTTCATACCATGCATCCCAGGTGCTTTGCGATGCAGCTCAAAGGTCCCAAATCCAGGCCCAGCTCACCAAATTTCCTTTGGAGTCGAACTTCTCAGTTTAAACAGACAAAAACCCGCAGCTGAATTCTCTATTGATAAACAATCTGGTCATTTTATTTTTTTATTGAACATATCTTTTCTTATATGTTTTCACTCTTTATGCCTGAAACAAATTTCAATTTAATGTTCTCATTTGAAGTGACTTTCTCATTATATTTTGATGCGACATACCCTGAATCAAAATGGCTAAAGAGATTCAGCATTGTAGTGAGTTAACCTGTAAAGCGTAGAACTCTTAACCTAATAACATCGTTCTGCCTAAGACATTTTTTAATAGCTATAATTTCTGCAGTTCATTAATCTAATTTTTTCGAAGTCTTCCATTAAAATATAGCCTCTTAAGGCTTATTTGACCAAATTCTGACATTAATTTTGTAGTACAATTTGGTTGACTTGTTCAAGAAATTTAAGTGAGAAAATGTGTCGAGTACAACTAAGACTTATTTAGTCATTACTTGGTTCATAGGGGATGAAAAGCAATTATGATACTATTTTAACCTCCTAATGTTATTGAGTGCTTAAATTAAGCACCTCCATCCTTATGTGATGGGAGAAATGAGGCTTTGCCCTCTGACCACCTATGAATAGAAAACTGTAAAATTAAAGCACCAATAAAAAATACCTGTACTTATTCACATAGTACTATTGCTTATGCCCTGTTTCCTTTTTCTCCTCCTCTTTTCTCCTGATATGTATCTTCTTAAAAGTGCCTATAAATGGTAAGTTCCCCCATGCACCCGCCCCATGGAGAAGGTGTGGAGGGAATGGGGTTGTGTGTCGTATCTGTAGATCCAGACAAAGCCAGCTGGTTCCGCTGTGTGTTGGCCTGCATGTTCGCTCTCATAGAACATCCCATGAGTGCTGTGTCCATTCATCGTCTTCTGTCCAGCTTTCTGATCCTGGAGCATGCAAAGTGACTCATCCAACCCAATTCCTTTCTTCCCCTACCCCATTCATCTTGGATCTCATGTACCAAGTTCACATTTTCAATCGCTAGCTTCATAAGCCAACCCATTCTGTGCACTTTTTCTTTGCTCACAGAACATTTGTACAGAGTTGATTTCCATCTTCATACAAACTAGTTCACGAATCTTCAGAAGAAAACAAGACTGGTTTGGAACCAGGCCTTGACGAAGTTTCAGAGCGAAACTTCGGTGAACTTTAGCACCCAAAGGCTAAAGGATTCTTACCGATCAGCTTTGTGAAAGCTAGAGATCGTTTGGACTGCTTTGTAAAAACAGATTCCTGCCTCATCCCCACCAGTATCGCCAACCCCATTTAAACCTGTAGACATTTAACTTTTCTTTTTTGCTGAATCATCGCGGGGATCGTGGCAGCCCTAGGTTAAGGGGATATCAGATTCTCAGCGACCCCAGCATAGCCCCTGGTTCCCCTCACTTCCCCCATGACCTTCTTTTCCCAGACGAGACGCACACGATGGCCAGCGACACCAGCAGCCTGGTGCAGCCACACACGTACAAGAAGCGTGAGCCGGCCGACGTGCCCTACCAGACCGGACAGCTGCACCCCGCCATCCGGGTGGCCGACCTGCTCCAGCACATCACACAGATGAAGTGTGCCGAGGGCTATGGCTTCAAGGAGGAGTACGAGGTGAGCACACACCCTGCCTGCACCCAGGCTCCCCTCTACTTTCCTGGGCTCAGCGCCGGGGGCTGTGCCTCCGTCTCCACGTGCCAGGGGGCCCATGAGGCGGGTGGGGAGGGATCAGCTGTTTCAACCCTGGATCTGTTTCCATCCATCAGTGAGACTTGGGAAGCTGGCCTACTTTAAATGGAAAAAAGAGGACTGCTTCTTCACCTCTTTCCTTTTTCTGCACAAATACACCTTGAAAACAGAAGCCTGCAGGCTCTCATCCCCCTTCCTCATACCTTTCCAGGTTTTTCCTGTAACGAAGTCTGATGTTAAACTCCAGGAATTTTGAGTGTTAGCTCAGAAAGAAGTTGTCCACCTAGAGCAGAGCCATTGTAGGCCAGCCAGTGACTTCTTGTGCTGGAGATAAGATGAAAGTAGAGGGGCCGGCTAGGGTCACAGGGTGACAGCTGTCACTGCCTTGCCAGCTCAGGGAGCAGGTCACTGTCACAGGCCCCAGTGCGGGCAGCCCTTGAGGGCCTTTCCAGGAGCAGCGGGTTATACTGTGACACCATATGAACAGAGTAGGCTTTACCCCTTTCACAGCCTCTGTCCTTCGCCGATTCTATTGGAAAATCTTTGTCGAACTGGAGAGAATTAATTGATTGGATGAAGACTGGTTCAGAAGAGCACACCTTCAGTGTCAGTGTGTGTGTGTGTGTGTGTCTGTGTGTGAGTTTGTGAACTGGGTGAAGGAGGCGGCTTGGATTTCTCTGTTACCTTATTAAATAAAATTAGTTCACAGTCATTGGTAAAGATAAAGTAGCAGGGTGTTTACAGTAAAAATAGGATTATACAACCACGTGGCTTATTAAATCTAAGAAGATGTTTCTGTACTTTGTCTACCTGGCTAGCTCCAAGTTGGAAAGCATCTTGTCTGGAATTAAGAGTATTTTTAAATCAGTGTCTAACTGCCTCCCTATACTTCAAGGTTCAAACTCTGCTTCTTTCTCCTCTTGGGGGTCCCTCATGATACCTCAATTTTAGCAGTGCAGATACTGTACTGTTTGGTTAACTGTCAAAGACTCACTGCAGCAGTCAGAGCCCCGCCACTGCTCTGCTTCTTTTAAGACCAGGTCTTGGACTTTCCTTGTGGGCCAGTGATTAAGACTGTGTTTCCAATGCAGGGAGCATGGGTTTTATCCTTGGTCGGGGAACTAAGATCCCACATGACACCAGCGCGGCCAAAAAATTTTTAAAAAGAAGAGCAGATATTTGTCCAACTCAAGCAAATACACAGACACACTTTCTTCTGTTAACACATGTGTTTCACATGTTGCCAGTGAGTTCAAATCAAAAGTCTGCAAAACCAAGGACACAAATATGGACCAGGCCCTCATAGCTTAGTTTAAGTCGATAAAATATGTCCAGATGAAGTTCTGCCTTTTAGCCATCCTGAAATTCTGAGGTTTACCTTTTGTGATTTAATTTATAATTCAGCGAAATTGACTGCCTTTGCATATTTCCTCCTGCACTTTTAGAGGCTGGCTTAGGAATTAATAGGATTAAGAGCAAGACTTCCAAAAGCATTAATATCTTATGAAAGACAAAATTAGGTTATTGAGAAAATATAAGCCTAATGAATAGAGATGACGTCTTTAGTTCTATCCAGTCTTCCGAATGCAGATATTGCTCTAAAGTTTATTAACGATGTTAATGTCAAAGAGATTAGTTATAGGCTCAAATAACAATTTATGAAGTAACCTGAGTCCAATTTTTCACAGACTATTTTAAAATACCTACCTTAGGACTTCCAATAGCATACCACATAGATGATGCATATTTGAAAATATGAAGAAAATTATTTCATTTTTGGATATCCTTATCCTGAATAAATATGATTTATAAGTGTGAACTAAAACAGTGTATACTTTTAAGCATGTTATAATTTAATGATTCATTAAGAGTTGTTATACTCTGAAATAAAATGTTCTGGTAATTACATTTCAAAAACCTCTTTTTCCCATGCCAGCTATTCTGTAGATCATAGGGGACTGTTTGGTTTTTTTTTTTCATTTATTTTATTGAAGTATAGTTGATTTACAGTGTTGTGTTAATTTCTGCTGTGCAGCAAATTGATTCCGTTATACATATATGTATGTATATTGTATGTATACACATATGTGTGTATGATGTATGTATACATATATGTATAACGTGCATATACACATATGTGTGTGATGTATGTATACACATAATATGTATAATGTATGTATACACGTGTATGTATAATGTGTGTATACACATATATATGTATAATGTATATACACACACATATATGTATAATGTATGTATGCACATATATGTATAATGTATGTGTACACATATATGTATAATGTATGTATACACATATGTATAATGTATGTATACACGTATGTATAATGTATGTATACACATATATCTATTCTTTTCCATTATGGTTTGTTACAGGATATTGAGTATAGTTTCCTGTACTATACAGTAGGATCTTGCTGTTTATCCACCCTGTATCTAACAGTTTGCATCTATTAATCCCAAACTCCCAATCCAACCCTCCCCCAGCCCCCTTCCCCTTGGCAACCACAAGTCTGTTCTCTACATCTGTTTTGTATGTAGGTTCATTTGTATCATATTTTAGATTCCACATGTAAGTGATATCACATGTTTGTCTTTCTCTGACTTACTTCGCGTAGTATGATCATCTCTAGGTTCATCCATGTTGCTGCAAATGGCATTTTTTTCATCCTTTTTATGGCTGAGCAATATTCCATTATATATGTGGATTACATCTTCTTTATCCATTCATCTGGTAATGGACATTTAGATTGTTTCCATGTCTTAGCTGTTATAAATAGTGCTGCTGTGAACATTGGGATTCATGTTTCTTTTTGAATTATAATTTTGTCTGGGTATGTGCCCAGGAATGGGATTGCTGAATCATATGGCAACTCTATTTTTAGTTTCTTGAGGAACCTTTATACTATTTTCCATAGTGGCTACGCCACTTGCATTCCCACCAATAGGGGAGGAGATCCAGAGAGGCCTGTTTAAAATGAATATATACAGATATGCTATTGTCACATTATATACTCTCAAACTATACAATGTTCCATGTCAATTATATCTCACTAAAGCTGAGGGGGAAAAGTAAAAACTTTTCAGTGTCAAAACCATGATCAGCTTTCTTTTTTAAAAGGAAAAGAAAAACACACAAAGAGAATATGTAACAGAGACGAAAGCAAGAGTACATGGGAACATGCTCTTAGAAGAAAGATAAGGTGGGAAGTTCTGTTAGGAAGGTTCCCAGTGCTCGGGAATCTTCAGGTTACTAAGTGCTCCCTCCTGGGGGCAGGGAGTGGATGTCAGGGGAGGACTGTGGTGGGACCGAGTCAACGGGACATGATGAGTAATGCTGGCACAGCGGCAGACCTGCTGAGTGGCCTCGGGGAGCAGGAGGTGCCTGCTCTGTGTCTCACCTCCATCCCCAAATCTGGGCAAGGATGGCTTGTTCCTTGAAGGATGAGTTGGAGTTGGCCTGGAGAAGGGAAAGAGCAGGATTCCAGGTAGACATGGAAGCCAGAAAACCTGAGCAGTCAGGGCTCTGTGAGTCCCTCCCAGAAGCTTGGATATCATTCTGGCTGCCGTGGGAAGAGAAGGAGTTTCAGGTAACTCATGCATCTCATTCTCATCTGTACTTGGATGGAGACCTGTTCATACAAACAGCTTAATTTTTAAATGCTGTCATACGAGGCCCACAGGCACGACTTGAAAGATAATAATCCACACCCCAAAGGTGAGGGGGAAGTGGGAAATGTATTTACTGTAAAACTGTAGCAGCAACTGCATCCCTCTCTCCCCATTCAGAAAGCAAAGTGATGTGAAAGTCACTCAGTCGTGTCTGACTCTTTGCAACTCCATGGACAGTAGCCCGCCAGGCTCCTCTGTCCATGGGATTCTCCAGGGAAGAATACTGGAGTGGGTTGCCATGCCTTCCTCCAGGGAATCATCCCAACCTAAGGAGTGAACCTGTATCTCCTGCATTGCAGGCAGATTCTTTACCATCTGAGCCATCAGTGAAGACTGCAGTGCGAAAGCTTGTCTTCCAGATTTGTCCAAGCCATGAGTTACTCCAGTGCCGAAACATTTCTAGGGGAGAAACGTCAAGAAAGCCTCAGGTTGCCACCATGACTCAGCACCATCGACCAGCCAGTCGGTTTCCTTCAATTCTCAGATGTCAGAAAACACCAGCCTCTTCAACTGTAAAATAATTTGGAAACAGTGAGTTTCTCTCTATTGACACTGTTTGAACCAACTCGTCTTCATCTTTTCCAAGACAGAACTGTCTGAAGACTGGCCCCAACCCTGGAAGGGTTCATTTCCACTCGAGGAGCTGACCCCGAAGTGTGTCCAAACCGTAGGGAAAACGTGGTGGGGACGAGATGGAGCAGCAGCGGGTGCAGATTTTTTTGTTTGATTTTGTTCTAACAAGATCGTCATATGGCATCTCTCACCAGGGAAATGCAATAATTTGATTCCAAAGAAACTCAGACATGAATCACAATAAAAAAAGTAAACGGCAGAATTGAACAGAAAACGGCACATTGTCAGCGGAGGCGGGATGGAGGGTCTCAGGAGACAGACTCAGCGGAGAGGGCAAGTTTGTTCACACTGCTGCCGAAAAGAAGCTGGTTATTCTTCCCCCAGAGCACAGATTACTAAGCCCTTGCGGAGGAGCTGTGGGTCTCCCAGAAGTGGAAAAAGGAGAGGGCTGCACTTGGGGAGCTCTGGAGCCCTGCCGCAGCCGCCCCTGCAGGCTCCCAGGCCTTCACCTGGAATAAAGATTCTCCAGCTCTGCCCCTGGCCGAGAGGCCCTGCCCCAGACATGGAGGCTGCTCCCCCTGCCCGACTGGTATGGAGCGGGGCCCAGCCTCAGAGGTGACGCTGCAGATCTAGAGAGTGAGTTCCTGCCCCTCTTTTGTCCC